AAACAGAATTTTGTGTCTGTGGTTATTGTACATTTGCCATCGTGCAGATATTCTGAAAAACAGGACTCTAGTTTGTGTGATAGGCTAACTCCTATATCGTAGGCATTCACTCATTAGATGCAGGGTTCGTTCAACCAATAAATTTCCATGACTTGTAAGGCAATATTCATGACCTAATGCTCCATTATTTTACACAAATGTTCAGATTTATCATAGCATATGCTAAGGAAAATGAATGATTATTAATGCTATTTGTTTGCTTTCTAATAAGCACAGGCTGCGACTGTGCCAGACGTTACTTCATGCAGAGAACATAAGTTAGGCTACATAATCAAATAACTGAATGCCAGACTGTTAAGTATATTGTAATGTGCTTAGCCAGTATTATAAATTAAACTCAGGACCTGAATTTAGTTTTAATTAATTAATTAATATATAAATATAATCTATATCTATGACTTTATACATCATAGTATTTTGTTCCTGAATAGTAGCAGCTACTGTTAGTTTTAGGCTAGCCTACCTGAAAAAGTTAAAACACAGTTTGTTTCATTTGTATCCTTGTGCTATTGCTAGTAACTTGTTCATTTATACTGACCGTTTAATTGTCTTTATGTAACATTATTGATTAAAATGCAAGGTTACAAAGCCTGTAAGATATTAGGGTGTTCTATAGTCTTTGGACGGGAGAGAGCGCTCAAAACTCTTCAGATTAATTAGTGGAACATTAATATAATAAAGAACCATCCTCTGTCGAGAAGTGAGGCGTGAACATGTGAGAATGTATCATTATCTTTGTAAATGTGCGCTCTTTTGGGCTAAAGGCTTAATGCAACCGTTTAAAGTATGCATGTGATCACAAATTAATCGGCGATTCGGCGCAGCGCAGACGTGATTTAATACGTGTGTCCTTTTTCTATGTGAAAAAAAAAATAATGAATTCCAGTTTATGCTGTTTGATTATGGCTTCGAAGGTCGTAGTTGGAAGCTGTTAGCCCCGGCTGGACCGTGCGCGCTGTTGAAATGCGGCTAATAATTTCTGACTGGCACATAACTGAACAAATGTAAACGGGTTAAGGCAGGGCCCCGGGCTGCCCATTCAAGCCCAATGGTAATTCCGGCCATGCCTGTAACCCTAAAAGCTAGTTTCTCCTCTTGGTCTTCTATAATCTTTATTCTTTGATGCTGTGTAGCCGTTCACTAATGCGAAGCTCACACAGTACCTTACACCAGTGATCAATACAAAACATGCAATGGCCAAAATGCATTACATAACACACATTTAGTAAATATATATTACATATAAAATACAATGAATCATTTAACATTTACTTAAACATAATGCGTATTTGGTTGCTTACCGCATTGAACATGGAGTATATACACCAAAAAGTTCAAAATGAGTGTAAAAAGAAAGCCCATTTCGACGCCCGGACGTGTCCTACAGCTCCATGGCGAAAGCGAAGTATATGGCGTTGTTTTAATGATAAATGTCAAGAGCGCATATATTGTAGCGCGAAAGCACATTAATATAATGCGCGAGTCTCGAATCTCCTCTTCGGCACAGACTAAATACTTGGTGCTTTACTGTGCGTTCACACCGAGAGCGTCAAAAATCGCTCTGGCCGCCCTGCCAACAACGCTGTAGAAAGATTCGTGGACGCTCTGATGCTCTGATGTAGATCGAATGCTTATCTCGTATTTAAAGGGGCCGCAAAGCAATCAAGCTTGTTGATCTTGTGCAGACTGACCACAAGGAGGGTAACGTTATAAGTTAACCTCGTTAAATATTGTTGTGGACGAAGTATTAAGATCCTTTACCTAATAATGTATAAAGCACTAATACCACACTGTAAAAATACTCTGATACAAGTAAAAGTCCTGCATTGAAAATGTTAATTAAGTATAATCAGGTATGAACATTACTTAATGTAAGTTTAATCAGGCAAATTGATGTAAAGGTTTAAAAGTGAACTGGGACTATTATACTATTATTTATTATATAATTAGATTATTATTACTATAACGTTAATGCACATCAGCAACACACCAGGAACGCCAACGATCTCAGACACCTTGGTCCACGCATCATTTTGGGACACGTCGTAGATTATTGGGAAACCCGCCACAGCAATAATCAGCCTCTCCTCCATTTTGCTTGGGAACTAATGTGGTCGGAACCAAAGTTTACAGGGCTGCGTTCTCTGGAATCCTCTAAAGCAGTGGACTTCTACATTCCGATTGGTCGTCGCCGAACCGCGTCATAGCTCATTACCATAAAGTTGACCTGATTTCAACTCTCTTCTACGCCCTCAACACCGGCGTCGCGCCTTGCCGAATTCCGACTCATATGGCAAGCCGTTTTAGCATTTAAAAGTTTGTTTTGACTATCCATAAATATAATTTAAGATAGGAACAATTGCATTTTGACGAGTCATAATTATAATTCGACTAGTCACAATGACAATTAGAGATATCTGCAATTATAATTGCACTAGTAAGAAATCGGATTAGAGATATCTCTAAATACTTTATGACTAGTCAAAACTCCATTTAAGATATCTGTAATGACGTCATAGATATCTTCAATAGGGCGTCACACATACGCAAAGGTAATTAGAGATATCTCTAATTCAGTTTCGACTAGTCACAAATATATTTTAAGATATCTGAATTGTACCTGCTCCTAGTCGAATGTGCGGTTGTGTGACGTGAGACTAAATTTACTCTTGAAATAATAGTTATCCATTGTGGTCCTATTATAATAAGAAATCATTATTTTACATTTTATGTATATATTAAATTTATATTTACATTTTAAATGTAAAATAAATATATACAGTAAATACAAAGTAATTACTTTTTTTATTATGATAGCACCACAATTGATAATTGTTAAGTGAATATAATTATACATTAATAAATACTATTAAATAATATAATAAAAGCCAACTGTTTACAACTGGTTTTGTTTTAGAGAAACCTGTATTTTGTTTTAAATAATCATACATTTATATATATATATATATAAAAATGTCCCCCCATTAAGCTATTAGATCTATATGGATAAATATCTGTAGCAATCACTCCTTGTGGCGTCAAATACTGTCAACTGGCTGATTACCAACACTCTTCAAGATATCTTCTTTTTTAGTTCAATAGAAGAAAGAAAGAAACTCATACTCATACAAAACTCATGTTTTGAACAACATGAGTAATGATGACAATTTTAATTTTGGGTGAACTAACCCTTTAATGTTTAGCTAACAAATGTGCTACAGTTGAATCATGCAATAATGGAGTGGTCTAACTGCAAATCAAGGATCTCCAACAATACCAGTTAAATATGGGCTTCAGTGTTCTGAAGTGAATACATCAGGCCACCAGAAGGACATTTACTGTAATTATATTAGATTTCTTAAGGGAGTAGCATAAAAAGATAAACACTGGCATACAGTATGTTATAACATAACTTTATTTGATCTACCCCTGCAATATTCTCTTTTCTCTCTATTTCTTTTGTATCATCTCTCATTCTCTTAGCTCCACTCATTTTTCTCTGGAAATTCGATCAACAGTAAGAACATACAAAATAAAGTTTTAAATAATCATACATTTATATATATATATATAAATATATATATATATATAAATGTCCCCCCATTAAGCTATTAGGTCTATATGGATAAATATCTGTAGCAATCACTCCTTGTGGCATAATTATGGTTTTCTCTTACCAGCCTAAACTAGCTTGGCTGAATAACATTTCATTTTTTGTTGAATACAGTAGCGTCAGAACTAATTTAGAAGCATAACTCTGATGGTTTTCTGTGATCTTTGTGGTCAATGTTCAGATAAATGCACACATTCCAGCTGTCAGTCAATTCAACACAGATCGTGTCAGAACAACTCCATCCACAAATACGGCAGGGATGCTTTGTGTTTTATCGCCGACAGCGGTTCTGTCAGATGACTTCGTTTTTGAAGTTGTGCATGCAAAACCTGTTGGTTACAGCTTGTTTTTTTTTCATCTTGAATCTTGAAAATTATTCATGAGTGTGTTTGCACAATGTTTGCCTGCTGATAGAATGCGTGTGTTTGGTTCCTGATGCTCAGATGAGGAGATTTAGTCAATGCAATGCAATATCTAATTCAACATGCAATGAGCCCCGGGGTAAAAGGCGCCTTTGATATTATGTTCATCTAAACCACTAGATGGCACAAAAACGTGGCGTAGCACTTTCCAAAACATCCGTTTTCAAGATGCACGTGTATATTTGTCTGATCTTTGACGAACGTGGCGTCAAAACATCCGTTTTCAAGATGCACGTGTATATTTGTCTGATCTTTGACGCGATCGCACGGATCGCACGCAAGTTGATTATGTGCTTGATCTAATATTTTATGTTTTTAAAAATGTTGTAGATTTAAGTAGCAAATGAGAATCGCTAAAATTAATGCATATATTTT